TGAGCACGACTTTCTGGGGTCTTCATAGATGCGCGAACTTCACGGATTAAGTGTCCAATCTCGCTTACCTCGTCCAGACATGGTGGACGACGTCCAATATCCGGATTGATGCGCACGTAGCGCGAAGCACGGCTACTCGTTGCGCACATGTCAGAGCGAAACTTATCCCACGCTTTCTCGGCGTCGAGAATATTGTCCATGAGGTTTCGCTGCCGATTTGTTCAGCACAGTTCTCAGAAGTCTTCGCGTCGCAATTGAAGCAAATCTTGGAAGGACGTACCATCGTGGAAACGATCTGAGGCATCGTGTGAAAAGTAGGTTGTCGGGCACTTTCTTCATCAGTACGTTCCCCTTAACTGCTTGTTGAGGCACCTCTTGTGAACCCGAAAGACTGGGACATGTAACGTTGAATGTACTTACTTTGACTCAGAAGCCATTGCTGTCGCGTCGGGCTGGCCGGCTTGCACGTCCGCCTTGTTTTGACTTGTGCCTATGGAAAGGAAGAGATCGGGGTCTTGACCAGCTACATCGGGCCAGAGCAGCTTTCTCTCATGGTTCATGAGCCGGACGGGATTGTTGTGGTAAAGCGCGCCGTCTAAGTATGTGCGATAGGTATGAGCGTGCTCGAACGGCTTGAAAAAGCTGGGGGCAGCCGATGTGGCAGCTGCCGCGTCTGCGATGGAGAAGCCGAACTTTGGCCGATCTGGTCGCAGAAACTCATACTCTGCGGGGCGTAGTCTTTTCTTGTCGCCCTCTGGCCGGCTGTAGTTCGCAATAACGATCGCTTTAGACCCGGTTTTGTCCGTCGCGGTCACGGCGACCTTTGTGTTAAGATACGAGCTCCGTTCTCCATAGTTGCCGAAAAGATGTTCTTGCCCGAATTCTCGCGTCAAAGTCTCTCTGAGAGGGCCAGTCGAATACTTGGAAGCAAGCCTCAGCGTTATCAGGTGTCTCAAGAAAGGGATGTTGTGCAACATCCGCGGCGTGAAAGCGGTACTGCACAGCTTTCTGAACTTATCAGAGCAGCGCCTGAGGCTCCAAGCTTTAGCAACCATTGCTAGCGCAATAATGCCACCAGTACTACGAAGTGTGAGCCTTGTGGTATTTACGACTACTTGGAATCTTACCTCGTTCCCATAATTAAATCGAAAAATGCCTGGATAGGGATTTTGTCACCAATTTGGTTTTGTAGGGCTCTTAACACTTCGAGTTCAACGATTCCACGGATGCCACCACTTTCTATATGTCAGCGTCTCGAATAAAGTCGAGCAATTGAAAGAGGAAATGGGGGCAGACATCGATGGATATGGGTATACGAGGCCATTACTTGCTTCACCCGGGGTTGAAGGGCGATGAAGAGCTCTCAGTAGAAGCTAGAATTGACTCACCCATCAAGACATAGGAGGCGAACTCCCGCGTGTTCAGGCTTAAACCTAATGAGACATGGCACTTCCCAATCCGTTTTCTTCGGGTGTAAAGGGCAGCAGTCTAGTCTGATAACGGAGCTCGTGCTACTATTGTCGTGCAGAGGCCGTCCATGGGCTCGCACACACTGCGTGCAGAGTACATGACCGCAACGAAGAGCGTGCTCAGGTGACTGCATAAGACAGCAGAAGCATGTGGCGTAACTCAAAATCCCACCAGCTGAACCCAAAGAAGCATCATAACAGCTCACCATGTCGTCGCGATGGATCTGCATCATGTAAGCTTCCTTGGAATAGCTTGGGGATGGTTGCGAGGCATTCTCTAGTTCGCAATCGATGTTGCGCATCTGCAACCGAATTTCCTTCTTCCAAGATGGTAGATAGCCTTCTGGGTTGATCCTGGACACAAATTCGCCTGGTTTTATTTTGCCTCTAGCGTCTTGGTGCCCTTTCGGGTTGTGATTGGCAGCGACGTTTACGCATTGATACGAACCGTTGCGGAATTCACAGGTGAGATGTTGACTCCAAAACGTCTCTACTGAGAACTGGCAATAGTCCGTGTAATGAGCGAAGTGATCTAGAGGAGAGCCTGTCGTGCGTCAGAAGTAGCAAAGACGAATAATTGGGGAATAGGAGAAACGATTGGCGGAAAGAAGTCCAGTAGCACCGCCGGAGAAGGCAGTAACCAGAGACTAGGCTGAGGGCTACAATAATACTACACTGGCCATAGTTGCTGCGTCGGCATTCTCGTGTCGGCCAGGCGCTCGAAATGAGCATCTTGTATATCGACCCTCAAAGCAAAACTATGCAAAAGAACTGTCACGTACCTTTTCGATGACGGACACAATCTAGAGAAATACTAGAAGCCACAAGTCTAGCCATGCGATCGAATATGAGCGTAGCTTTGCGCGTCGTCTCAAGAGCGGGTGTATTAAGCGCGATTTGCTTGTCGTGGGCCTCTATGGCCAGGGCGAGCTGAAGCATATGGCCACCAAAATCATTGGGTATCGGATTATTGCGCAGAGACATGGTAACAAAGTCGAAAGGCATAGTGAGTGTCCGTGAGAAATGACTGAACACTGACTGGAAATGCGTATCCAACTCAAAAGATTTGAAGAGCATGTTCGCTCGTTTCCGAGTATTGAAGGACCTTTCGCACGATTTCGTGATTACTTGGTGAAGTCGATCGACCTGATCGTGCAATAGCCGATATCGACCTCCGCGTGGTATGCGTATGACTTGAAATGTGGAGTAGTAGCATTGTATGAGTTCCAGAATGTTTCTGACGCGTCGTCCTCTTTCTTTCCAGGTTTTGACGAGGCTGATGAAGAAGGGGTGTCCATGTCTCGGATGAATGCAGTGTTTGTTGGCCGCTAACAAGCTGTCTGTTGCCGATTCGTTGTCCCATTCATATGGATTGGCGCTCGGCCCACATTGGTTCAGTGCAATAACGGCGTGTGGAAGTGTTGGTTGATTAACCGATGTCTCCAATGATGCTTCTGCCCATTGCAGTAAAGGTTGTAGAGTCGTGACTTCGAATGTTCTAAGTAATTATAAGCAGAAAGAGCCCAATAGGAGACCTTACACATACTTGGAGTTCGTGCCATGCATAACAAAGACCACAACATCTGAAAGAGTGTAGAGAATGCGTGGGTAAAGCTCTTTCACGATATATCTTCTTCTTGCCCTCTCAGTATCTGCAGTAGCCCATGCCAATGATCGCATACGGCCTTCACCCAGTTGCGCATGGATGCGTTCGGGATTCGACCGCGACCTACGATTCTCATGAGCACCGATCGGCGGATTCTCTCCGCCTTCTAAGCCCTCACAGTCTGCGTACAGTAGAGGTGTTCGAGAATCGGTGCTCATTGGGTCTGCGTACAGATGTACGTCGGCCGATGTTGGAGTGTGCTCCACTGGATCGTTACCGAGCCTCTCATGTCCAGACTGTGGCTCTAGACGCTTCAAGCCAACAACAGGAGAAGGATAGCGTTCCTTCAGACCACCGGTCCCTTGCAACTGAATGAGCATCTTTATTAATGTACTTTTCCCAGCATCTGGTGCGCGGTTAGTCTCGAAGAGTTAACGATACGATTGATGGATCCGTTACTAGTTTGGCCGATGAAAGATACCAGTTGCGGGTATTTTTCTTTTCCATTTTTGAGCGGGTTACACAACAAGGCTGAATACACATCATAGTCGAAAAATTGTTGACGGTCTGACTGGTCGCCTCTTCTATGGAGGCTGTCGTAATGCTCCGGATCGTCGTCTCTTTTTATTCCTGAAAAGAGGTCAGTAGTTATAAGAGCTCTTATCAAGGAACAAATTGTACCAAACCAGGTAGTGGCCAGGTCGTCCTCGTGGAGTTCTTCCATTTTGTCTTCGTCGTATTGTGGATCCAGTATGCTCTTGAGTTTCGCATACACATGATACTCTACCTTCTCGTGCGATCCATCTCTTCCTTTTTTCCCGCCACGGTGCGCCAAAAAGTGTTGCCAACACGGGTCGCAGAACTCACAGGCACAGTCCACACAATACCAGACCTGGGCACGATTGCGGGTACAACCTATACCGCGGCTCTCGCAGTCGTTCAGTGGCCGCTGCATGGTCTTGGAAAGTCCTTAGGCGATCGTGAAAGAGACAAGGTCGTTAGGAAGTTGCGGGGAAGTCATTGCGGCAAAGATTACCTATGCCAATGTTCAGCCTCACGCGGGCGCCGTGCTAAGCTGCATATCCATCCAATCGAGACTACGCGGTAAGTGCACCTATGAAGCTTGCTGCTGCATGTGGAATCGAAACCAGGCGAATCGAAGTGCATGCCGCCAGCCACACAATCGTTCATTACCGGCAACTCCGCCACTTGTATTGACCGGTCGCCAGAGTGAAGCGACACGATGGCGAGCAGGCGAACCGTGTCGCGTGCGTCACTGCATCATCGCGATACGACGAGTACTGATCGCCAGCCTGATATCCCATTGCAAGGTTGTAGGGTTGTTCGAAACGAGTAGCATGTAAGCATCGTGGTGGATGCTGGACGGCGGTGGCACATCTAGGGCAACTGCGCACAGACCATGTCTGCCCGCCTGCCCAACCTGATCGATGCAGAGCGTCACTACGTCTACTCTTTCGTCTTCCGGCTACCTAGGTACCCAGATGCAACCTCGTATTAGCAAAAGCTCGCGAAATAAGCGAAGACTATAGCATGGCTGGCGAACCGATAACTCCTTTGCAGGCGCGCTCTTCGTTGCGCGTTGTAAGTAAAGAGTCGCGCAGACAAGACAGCCTTGCAAACAAGCCCGCCGTCTAATGCAGTATGCGACATGCAGTCGCTTGGGTCGCGGATACAACATGTGAAGAAAGCTCAACGCAAAGAAACTCGATGTTGTTGGTCGCGTTGCGCAGAAGGGGAAGAAGAAAGTTGAAGTGGGGGCGCGCCAGCTCCGCAAGCGGCAGAGGAGCTTGAAGGCGGTCTGCTTCCACCATGCAGAGTCAAAGGCCTCTGAACGCTGTCGTACAGTCTCTTCACAAACACCAAAATTTACCTACCAACGCCCGGCTCAGTACAAAACTGCCATCATGCCTTCCATGGCGAGCTCCATCCACCCCGACTTCCGCGACGATGTCACCTCAGCGGAAGCCCATGCCGTGGACCGGGAAACAGAACGTCTAATCCATCAACAACTAGCTGCGGACAACGCAAGTGGCCGTGAAAGATACATTCAGCTCGCCAAAGAGATGCTGCGTATTAGATTGCGCGCCTACAAGCCCGAGTCACCACCCGTTGCTGGTGCGTGGTGCCTGATCGGATCAGCACATCTCAAGGCCTCTCAGCTGCAGGAAGCAAAGGAAGCCACTGAGAAGAGTCTGGAAATATATGCCGCAGGAAACGATGCTGAGAAAGAAAACTCGGCGGCATTGGCGAGGGAACAGTTGGGTTTGATCTTTGAAGGCTTGGGCCAGATCTCCGATGCTAAGAAAATTCGACTGCAAGGTGCGAGTGATGGAACGATGGTGTGTTCGAGTCCACGGGTACGTTGATCATGGTAAAGCATGAAGTGATTCTTTTAACAGGCTTATGTAGTGTCCCTATGCACATTACGCGTTCCGCGTGCAGAACGAGGGCCGCCCTGGGCTCTTCAAGTTGGCTGAACTGAATGCGTGTGGTGCATGCAATTCGGCATTCTACTGCGAACGGCAATGTCAACTGCAGGACTGGAAGAGACATAAAGTTCCTTGTAAGAGATATACGGCTGCTCAAGTAGATTAGGATGGCATATTGCTCTGCTCTCACTAAAATACAGTGTCCTCGTGGTCTCCAAACTCTTCGCCTTTTTGCAAAACCTGTTCAACCAGGTCATTCCTCGCCTCTCTGGCTTTCATGGTCGACGGACTGGTATCGATGCTTTCCATTTGGATTTTGCCAATGTGCATCACCTACTTCGTCCTCTTATCCCGTATGCTGATTTACGGCACCCTCAGAAAGAGGCATCTACAATTCGTGTCACATTTCACAAAACAATCATGAAGGTAGGAGTATACATTGTCTTCGGCAGTTACAACTTATAAAGATATAGTGGTGTGTACGCAGCAACATGCAAAACAGAAAGTACCTAGAAAACTACCCCTGGTGATGGATCCCAATAGATTCCCAAGCACGAGCGATACTTAAACATCTTTTAGGAATCTGGCACCCTAACTCTTGACTCCCGGAGTACCCGCAATACCCCACCCACATATCCATTCCACAAGAAAGAGCCAAAATGGCACGGGAACCACTCGCCCTTGATGGCAGGTTCATGGCATTCGCAAGATCGCAGGCCGGAGAACGACTGTAGGTCACATACTATCAGCGCAACTACGGCAATCGCGTAGACCCAAACCCAGCGCCAGTGTACCAGAACGAGAGTAGTCATGTGGGCTCTATGGGCCACGTCGACTTCGATACGATCAGCGAAGAGGTCGTGGCCAAGAAGGGTCGTCTCGGCCTCACACCAATCACGCTCACCCAGGTCATGTTTCCTATCTGGCAATCCAAAGGCTTCAAATTGCTGTCGAAAGAGGCAGTACAAGCACTGACACCCGGAAAAGAGCGCAAGGGCAGCCTCACCCCGAAGAAAGAGCGCAAGGCCAGCAGGGCCACAGACGACCCCAACCTCAAGCCGGCGCCGCAACATCAACAACACCCCCGACCTCCAGGCCAACAGCAAGAAGCCGCGCAGAAACACGATTTCCACCCCTCTCACCCCCGAAGACAAGGCCGCGGCCAAGCGCGCCTTCCAGGACACAACGAAGCCCATAGACGAACAGTCCATCCACAACTTCCAAGTCACGGAGGCAGAGGCTCACGAGTCTGGGCATATGCCAACGTTTGTGAGGATGCCTCGACAGTGGGCACTAGACACAAACACCGATCAGTACGACGCGCCGGCATTTGGAATGTACAGGGTTTTGGAGGATATGTTGAACGCTTTAGTGGGTTATCGAGGTGCGATACCGAACCTTGGAGGTATATGCTATGTTCTGGGGCAACGCAAGGAGGGTAACTAGGATTATGTAAACCCCTTGAATACGCTAGGATAAATGTAGGTTGCTGCTACCGATAATGTATGCTCCAGAGGTGCCCAGCGAACGCGCTTGCCAACATTCCAAGGTGAATGTCGCCTCTAGGCTCTCACGAGGCAAGTGCTCTTCAAATGCTAGATCGGACAAAAGCCTCGATTAGGAAGACTAAGCTCGTGACAACATCGCCATGTCGTGGAGGCATTCGCAGTTGTCTGCGGCAACACACGAGATATACAGAAGACTACGTATACCTTAACAGCATGTCTAGATAAATGCATGCTGCTGCCACCTAAGACGTATACCTCAAAAGCATCAATAGAGCGCGCCTGCTGATATTCCGGTGCCAATGTCGTCCGCAGGCTACCACAAGGTAGGAGCACCTCAACCCACACATCAAGCACCAAAAACCCACCCATAAACTTAGCAGCCTCCCCCGTCGCACCTCCCCGCCCCCACATCCACAGTGTAGTAATTCCCATCCTCGCACCCTTTCTTCTCTTCTCCAGCTACTACACACAGGAGATTAGGTACGTAACTCTTTCTATCTACCCTATTATCCCATGAAAATCACTTTCACTAACAAACCCACGTCTAGCTGTCTCCCTACAATGTCCAACTGCACCTTCGCCACGCGCGTTTTCGACGCCTTCGTGGCACACATGATCACAGCTGTTTTGGCCATTGCGCTGCTCCGCTGGGTGGGCTACGAGATGCCGTGGGAGATGCGGGAGAGGAGGGAGAGGAGGGAGGGAGTTGGCGGCGTTTGAGGGGCGGGTGAATGGTATTATTGATCGGTATGTTTAGTGTGGATATGGATATACGTAGTTGATTTCTTTTCTTTCCTTTGTTGGTTTTTTTCGTTTCCGATATTCTTTTCTTCTGTTATGGTTAGCTGTTAGCTTTGTTATCTAGGGAATATCTTAAGGGCCTTGAACCCCACCTCCCCGTGGTTAGGCCTGGGGCCACTCCCGGTGATGAGAGGGAGTGGTGCGGACGGGGGTATTTTTATTCATTGTTGGAAGAGGCTGAGATTGGAGATGTTTGCGAGAGGTTCGCTCGTCACAGCTTACAACTCACTTCTGGTTTGCCGAAGACGTCCAGAATATGCTATCCGCAACTCGATCTACGAAGGCGTTGTAGGCTTCAACTGGGGCTAAGCCACTCGTATCAGCTTCGCGCGTTCGACATGTCGTCCCCAGGCATCATGATGGTCGAGAGAACTTCCCCCTCACGAGCCTATTTCGTCTTGACAACGGGGTTTGGTACTGGCCCACTCTTCGCTGAACGAGGCGACCCTGAACCTTGGTTCTACCAGCGCACTCTCGGCAGACGCACAACATCCCTCTTTCACCTCTTCAGTCCCACTTCAACCTCCCTCGATCATACCTCAACATCGCCATCATGCCGACTTTCGATCTAGGCCGTCTAGGTCGCTTCCAGATATCCTATCTTCCGCCATCGAACATGTCGCGCACAGAGCAGCAAGACCTACCGTCATACCCGCCGCCTGAGTACACCGACATCGCGGAAAGCGAGCTCAAGTACCTCTCTCCATCGCAAGCACAACCACCAGAATGCAAGACCGAGCAGGTCCGTCGATTTCTCATCGAAATCGTTGCAATAACCTTCAACGCGGACTTCGACTCGCTAAACGCAGCCTTGTACAACATCCCTGTACCAGACAACACAAACACAATACTCTGCGACTCTGAGCGCGCAGACCTGGTAGCTCAATCCGATCTTGTACGCAAGGTGCATAGACACTTCCTCCACAACACCAAGACTCATATATCCCAACAAGACGAGAGAGCCATCTGCTCCACCATAACCCTCGCCGTCGCCCCCCTCCGCGTTGCACCCCCCCTAACCTCCTACCAAAGTACACTCCCGCACTTCACTCTAGACATGATAGGGTGGTACGGCGAAGAAACGCGACATCCATCTGGCACACGCTGGTCGAGCACGCTCCCCGGACACTGGGATATAAAACCTCTGGGGTATTGCGATCAAGAACAGGTTATACTGTGCATGAGGTCGCTTTTCCATATCATCGAGGACATTGCTCCGAACGACAAGGTGCACGACGTGCTAATGGAAGCATGGGACACTTGTCGGCGACGCGGTGGGTGGCCGATGGACACGCTGCTGGGCGACTCAAAGATGTGTTGGCCCTTGAGGAAGGGGTACCATCATATGGGGGATGCGTTAAGGGATATGCCGCTTTTGGGGCCTTGGGTTGTCGTTGGGGAGTCGAACGAAGCACACTGGATTAGCTCTGCTACTTCCAAGTACTCCATATCACCCTTCGTTCGCACCATGGGAGTAGTCTCTGCGAAGGGCATGTAAAACAATCAAAACCTTCATTAGCACCAGACATGTCTCGCCATCAACCTGCGACTGCCGAGTTCCGAAGGAGTGTTGCGGTGTGGAGAGTTTGGTAAGGGTGGGTCACGGGAGGCGATCGACGCATTGTGGCTCGGCCCCAGCCACAATGCAGAATGACATCATGCTGGCTGTACCTGCAGCAACCAACACCACCGATTTGACCGCAAACCTGCTGTCTAGCCCCGTGCGAAACGCGGCAAGCGTGTTTCCACTATCTATTGCCATCGTGCCATCTTTCCCGGCCCGTCCGCCTCTTCTCTTCTCCTCAGTCCTCTGCATTTCTTTGTATTCCCTTTAGTCTGTCGCTTCGACTCTAATTTCCCTATACGCGACGACCACGCGAGCGCCCCTTGGTCTCCAGCCCCTGCCACCACAACAACACCACCAAGATGGTGCACCAACGCGCATCCCAGCGGGCTCTCCTGCTGAGCGCGACACTCGGTCTTGCCAATGCATTCGCGCTGCCAGAGCCGACAGCTGTCCCCGCCAAGGTCGAAGTGCGCGCGCCTGTTGTGACTCCCGCGGCGATCCGGTTCGTAGGGCGGCACAGCTACGTGGAGAAGAGGAACATCATCGACGACATCAAGAGCGGCGTGGATAACTACGCAGCCTCGATAGGCAGCGTGCTGGGAACTGACCTGCCCAGCTTCTTCACAGAGGGTAAGCAAACGCCTGCATGGCAAGCTTCGCACTAGTAAGGCTTGTGCTGACTCTTTTTCTCCAGGCATCCCCGGCTGGTTCGAAGGCCTCCCCACCGGCAAAGAAGTCCTGTCCAGCCTCGGCATCGGCGACGACGACTTGGCTGCGAAGCCCACCGAAGTCCTCAACATCCCTCCCTATGCCAACTGGACCGACCAGGGCTGGAACGTGCGCTTCCACGGCAATGTGTATAAGTTCCCGGATATCAGCCAGGACAAGGTCGACGACCTGGCCAACGTCTTCCTCATCGACACGAGTGTTGCCGAGCTGCCCGACAACCAGAAAGAGCAGGCCCGCAACCTGACGCGCTCCATCTTCATCGTCCAGCAAGGCGACGTCAATGTCTCCATGTCGCTCGAGCCCGCGCCCATGCAGGGCGGCGACGGCGAGCCCGGCGGCGGCAACTCCATCGAAGCCCCCGGCGGCGTCCAGAACCTCACGCTCCCCTACGAGACGACGGAACTCGGCGACTTCGACGTCTTCGTCCCCATCCAATCCAACGGCCTCATCCCGGGCAACGAAACCAACAACGTCCAGCGCCTAAACGTCTACACCAACGGCACCAACAGCGGCAACGCCACCGCCTTCCTCGTCCCCTCCGAGGGCATAACCTTCATCTCAGACATCGACGACATCCTGCGCGTAACCAAAATCTACGACCCGAAAGAAGGTCTCCTAAACTCCTTCGCCCGCCCCTTCACCCCTTGGATGAACATGCCCGAGATCTACGCAAATTGGTCCCGCACCCTCCCCAACAACACTCACTTCCACTACCTGACCACGACCCCCGAGCAAGCGACCCGTCTGTACATGGACTTCATCTACAAAACCTACCCCGGCGGCTCCTTCGATACCCGTCCCCTCAACTTCTCGGACATCTCCGCCACCCTCTCCATCCGCAAATTCCTCCTCACTAAAGCTTTTGAGACTTTCCCCACGCGCAAATTCGTTCTCGTGGCCGATACTTCGAACAGCGATGTCATGAAGGCTTATCCCGAGCTCGCCCACGACTACCCCAACCAGGTCCAATGCATCTTCCTCCGTAATACCTCGGCTACGGATTCAGACATGTGGTTCCCGTACAATACCGAGGGTTTCAAGGGCCTCAACAACAGGAGCTACATGTTCTTCCGTGAGCCGAATGATCTTGCGGGACTGGATATTGTTAATGGACAGTGTCTCAACGAGTCGATACCTCAGAATGTTACTTTTTCGCGTCAAGCGGAGATTCTGGGGATTCATGGCGATAGTGCGGGTGGGAAGTTGCAGAGCGGTGCGACGATTAGCTTTGTTGTGGCGTTGTTTGCTGCTGTTGCACTGAGTTTGTAGGGATGATGGTGGGTTGAGATGATGTCTTTTTGTTGTGAGAAACGAGTATATACGCACGATCCATGGTGTTTTGTTGGATTTTGATTCAAATAATTTGGGTTTTGGGCATAGCGGCATGGTCCGCGTGGGTTTTGGGTCTTGGATACTTCTTGTGCATAGCATTTCCTATCTATCACTAGGGCAATTATCAGATTGTTTTGTGACGGTTGAGTCTGGACTGTTTGTGTGTGAGCAAGCACTTTTCCTTGTCCATGCGCAAACAGACCAGACTCAATCGGCACAATCTTATCCACACAAGCAAACTCCTCTCTCACACCCTTACCTTACCACATCACCCCATCCTCCTCCCCCTCTCCCGCCGACAATCCTCCCTCCCCCTACCCACATTCAACCTATGAAACCAACACACCAAGCTTACCCGATCATCACCCCTTTGATCCAGTTTCCGCCTGCTACCATATAGACATCTAGGTAATGTTGGCTTCTTCCTGTTGATGAAATTGTTCCATGACGACTCCCATATCTGGTCGAGATTGGGCTGGTTGCGTCGGTTCTTTTTCGCGTTGAGCGCTCCGATACGGCCGCCGTGGGTGCGGAGGTGGTGGAGGAGGTGGAGGGGGTTGTCGGGGGTGGCTAGGTCTAGGGCGGAGATTGTGTCGATGTGGTATGGGGTGATGGGAATATCCTCTGCGTTTGGGTATCTGTCGTTGTCTTCGGAGATGGAGGAGGGAGACGGGGAGCGAGAGGGGGTTGTGAGAGGGAGCGAAGAAGAAGAGGATGGAGTTGATGATGATGATGAAGAAATGGAAGAGTGTGTGCTTTCGGGTGAGTCAGGGCGCGATAGCTGGGTTGTTGAGACAAGCTCAAGAACGGCCCGGTAGTACTTCAAGCGGTTGGCGCTCTCAACAGGGAGTGGGTTGCTTTCGGGATCGATTTTATGAGTGACGGTGGGCTCGTTCTTCTTGTACGCTATCATTTCGGTGCTGCGACGGTATTCGACTATGTAGTCCCCCCATGAAGACATGCCCGTACTGGCTACATCGTCCATTGTGAAGAGTGTTTATAATATACGTTAAGTGACAGATCTGCTTTCTGCTTCATTTTGAGCGCCGTTGGGGCTATTGTATTGTCCAGCAAACACATCCTCAAAGACATTGGTTTGACAAGAAGCTGGATATTATACATTGATATTGATGTTTCTAGAAGTCATGAGGCTCCTCCTCATACACTTTGAGTAACAACCGGCAGAACACAACACAGACACAACGACTAACCACAAGTACCTCACGCGAAAACTAAACAACATCTTCTTTCCCTACTGACATGCCTCCCCCCTCTTATCCTCACCCTTCCTACTCTTATGAAACTTACACACCCTATCCACTTTATCATCCCCATCCTGATCCAATGCCCGATAAGTGCCATACTTACACTTCTTAACTCCGCCCGTATTACACGCGGCTGCTTTGGCATTGAGTGTATACGTCTTCTTAGTCTGTTCCTGGGTCTGCTCTTGAGTCTGACCGTCCGTTGATGTCTGCTTCTGAGTCGTCTTTGTCTTTGTCTTGGTGATGATGGTGCTTGGTCGATGCTTGTTTCTGTGTTGTTTCTTAGCCTTGTGTCTGAGCGCAGGATGAGTACGCAAGTGGTGCAGGTCGTTGCTGTATGCGAATAGATGCAGTGCTTCAAGCTCGGTGGGTATAGCGAGGGATAGGTAGCGTAGGCGAAAGAATGGTTCCGGAGGTAAGAATGGGTCGCGATGTCTGCGCGGTGGTAGCGAGAGGGATTGGGATCGGTTGACTTTGCGCGGGCGGAAGATGGGATAGTGAGGCTCTGGTTGGGGAGGCGGAGGTTGGACGTCTTTGCCTTGGGCATCGACTGGAGGATCGATGGGAGGCTGATCTGCATCGTTAGCCGGCATAGCGAAGTTGTAGCGATCGACAAAGTAGTCGAATGCTCCATCAGCAATTGGAGCCATGATGTTGGTTACGTGACGAAATCGGTAGATATGAGAGGGCGATTCTGGGCTGTTGGAAGATAAGTTGATCGATGAGTTTGTTTTCTGCCATCCTGTTGAGCTACGTTGCAGGTGATATATCATCTAGCGACTGGAACTTCAAGACATCAGATTAGTGAAGTCGCGACTATGAGTGATACATTGCAAGTCATGTCTTCAGTGTCTTCCCGCCGGGTAGGCTGTGAGATAAACGCATGCCTGAGAACGACCATGTTCGAGTTGTGAGACATTTTGAATATCTCCGCATTGTCTTACTCCGAGCATGACGAGCGACGTGAACTCATCCCATACGATAGCTGCACGCTACCCGCCCTATCTCTATCCGAAAACGACACCCTATATGGCTATCTCACTCCATCCCTCCCTCCTCAAACCTTCTCGCAACCTCCAAAACCCCCGCATCCAACCTCGACCCCCCCAAAAACGTCACACTAAACGGCAACACCCCCTCATCCCCCTCCTTCCCGCTCAACTCCTTCACCGGATACATCCCCGCCGGTACCGCCACACCACAAAGATCCAACACATTCCCACAGTGCGTAAACTCACCCAGAATACTATTCTTCTTAATCGGATCAGCGAGCACCTCGTCTATGCGCCAGTGCGTAGGCGTAGTCGGTACAACGACAACATCGACACCAGATGCGGAGTACGCGAAGACTTTCTCTGCTTGACGGGTGTAGAGGGCTTGGGCCTGCAGGTCGCGGTACGCGTCTACGGCTGAGCTCTTCCGCGCGACGACGGCGTCCATGAGTTGTGCGGTTACGGGGTGGAGGGCTGAGCGGTTTTTCTCGAGGAAGTCGTCGGGAAGGGAGGCGAGGCGTTCGGAAACGAATGTGCCGTCGTAGAGTAGTTGACCGGCTTTTTGGAAGGGCGACCAGTCGATTGGTGTGAGGACGCCGCCGATGGCTTGTAGTTTCGAGATTGTTTCGTTGAACATGCGACGGGCTGGTGGCGAGCAGATAGCGAGTGCCTCGGGTGGCGGAATGCCGAATCTGAAAGTGCGGGACTGGGGGCCGATGCTGTTGATGTGGCGTTCGAAGTTCATCTCTGGTTTCGCGTAGGGGTCGAGGGGGTCGTGGCCTTCTAGTATCTGCCACAGGGTTCGCGCGTCTGATACGGTTTTTGTGGAGAGCGCGATGCAGTCCAGTGACAGGCATGCTGGTGTGATGCCTCGGAAGGAGACGGTGCCTCGTGTAGGCTTGTATCCGACGACACCGTTGAAACCAGCGGGTACTCTGCCTGAGCCAGCTGTGTCTGTTGCCAGTGAGAAGGAGACGAGATTCGCCCCGACGGAGACTGTGCTGCCGCTGCTTGATCCGCCGCTGATGTAGTCTTTGTGGTATACTGAGTGTGGGATTCCGTATGGGCTACGGCATCCTACGAGGCCGGTTGCGAGCTGATCCAAGTTGGCTTTTCCTATGAACAAAGCACCTTCGGCGATGACTTTGTCGTATACCGGGGCGGAGGTTGAGGGTACGTGCGCAAGTGGTGGACATGCGGTTGTTGTGGGCAGACCGGCAATGTCAATACTGTCTTTGACGCTGAAGGGGACGCCAAAGAGGGGTGGAAGTGCGTTTCGGTCGGGGTAAGTCGATGCTAACTGTCTTGCGGCATCTAGAGCTGCTTCGCGTGGTTGTAAGCGTATCCATACCGCTGGATCTATCTCCTTGTATGCTTCAATCTTTTCGTAGATCGCCTCAACGACGGTAACGGGTGAAAGCCCCCTCTTGTACGCTCGTTGCAAAGATAATATCGTGAGGTCGCCATCGAACACCGGCGGTGTCTGAGGAGGCGTCGAGTTGGCGACCGGCCCCTTACTTGACAATGGCGAGAGGGCGTCTAGTAATGGCTGCAAGCTACCAATGAATCCGAAAAGGCCCTGCGACCAATGTATCATATCCAGCGTTGACTTCTTGAAGCAAGCATCATTGTATCCACTAGTAGCTTCCTCAATACCACAGCATTCGAAACCGCGGTCATTCGCCTCCCGAATAGTAGTAGCAAAGCAACACTCCGTAGTGACACCAGAAACAATGAGATGTGTAATTGCTCTCGCTTTGAGCTGATGCAGGATAGTCGTGTTCCAGAACGAGCCTTTACCGGGTTTATCGATGACGACCTCCCCAGGAACTGGCTTCAACTCATCAATGATGTCGTGTCCGTATTCTCCTCGTGTGAGCAGGCGGCCAAGTTCGCCCTTGTCGCCAATGACTAGTTTGTGCTGGGTGTTGCCAGGCGCAGCTTCTTGTCTGATCAACTTTGACGATGGACAGTCGGAGAGATCTGGTTTGTGGCCTTCGCGGGTGTGGAAGACGGTCATGCCAGCACCCCGACACGCTTCTAATAGCTTTTTCGTTGGCGCGATGGATGCTTGGACCGCCTCCAAGTTGCCGCCTTGAATCTCGCCGAAACCTTTGGTGAGGAGGAAGTCGCGTTGCATATCGATTATGAGTAGCGCGGTATGCTCCAGAGGGAAGGAGAACGCGTAAGGCTTCGCGTCAAAAGAGAGCATCGTGTCATTGGGAGAGGTGTTTGCCATCTTCGTGATACCGTGGCGATGGAGAAGTCTGGTAATTGGGAGGTTGTGTGGGCAGACACGCTCAGGAAGGAAGACAACATATACAGATGGTCGTCAGGGAACGACGACGCGCCATATCTAGTTTCGATATCGACTCCATCAGATGAACGTGGGGACTCCAACACGGGCCGCGAACGGAGTATGCAGCTGGCCTACGGGCCTACGGGCGGGACTTGGAGATGTCTTATCGGTATCGGATGGCGCTAGCGCTAGATCGGTCTAGCTGGACTCTTCGATGAGCAATCTCCATCATGCCCAGCGCCCAACGCTCTCTCATCCCCGTCGACACATCCAGTTTGTAGTGCTATTTGTCTAGATAATTTTGCCGAGCTGTTGTAGTCTCCGCATGCACTCCGCCATGTCATCAGCGACTATCTCCGACCCGGGAGCCGATATGGCTATCAAGCTGGAGACTATCTTGATATGGAGAGGCATGTAGCTGGCACAGCTCGGAGGTCGGACTTCGAGGCTTGATAAAGAATGAACGAAGTTCTGTCGCATTCGTGTTTTCCTACTTCATTTTGCCGTTCTAAACTATGTCTGTGCTAAAGGCGAGGCTTGCACCTCATCTTCATCTGAGGGTACCCTTCGAAAGCGGCAAGTATGGCTCGCGCTGGTCGAACAAAGGTACGTTCTTTCAATATATGCATGTGCAAAGACTTTTAGCTAATCGTCGCTTCGACATCAGATCTTGATCCAGTGCCACCAGAACAGCGTACCTGGGGCGGTCTTGACTACTGGGCGTACTGGTGCTCGGACATGCTCGCACCTCCTTTGGCGTCAACCGTGAGCAGTGTCATGGCCCTGGGTTTCACAGCTAGAGAGACAATCCCGATCGTCTTCTTCGGCTTTGCTATCTGCAGCGTCGTCATCACACTCACCGGAAAGATGGGTGCCACATATAATGTATCCTTCCCGGTCATCGTCCGAAGTGTCTTCGGCATGTATGGCTCATTCCCAGCCATCTGTATTCGAGCTTTCGTCGCTATGATGTGGGCTGCGATTCTCACGGTTCAGGCGAGCAACTTCCTGCAGCGCTGCCTTGAAGCGATCTGGCCAAGCTTCATCACTTTTCCGAATCATCTACCGGAAAGTGCTGGGATAGACTGTAAGGCTCATTCCTCTCCAAATCCCATTGCGCGTCACTAAGTCTTTTAGCGGCCGGATTGCTATGCTTGTTCTTGTACTGGTTCTTGCAGACTGCGCTCGCCCTCATGCCAATCTCGAAATTGCGCGTCCTCTTCTGGATCAAGGGTACCGTCGTACCGCCAACGTTCTTCGCCCTGTTTCTTTGGGCAGTCATAGTGACGAAGGGGTGAGTGAACTCTTATAGTTCTCAGCGATGGGCAATACTGACTTCGAATGCAGTGGTGGTCCGCTCATCAAAGGAAAGGTGGAGATTACTTCAACGTACATGAACACCACCTACTCAGTGCTCACCGGCCTCAACGCTGTAGTCGGGCTTTTCTCCTCTTTGGCCGTTAATATGCCTGATTTCGGCAGGTTTTCCAAGAACCAGCTCGCCGGCTACCATCAATTCCTCGCCCTCCCCATCATCGGAACATTGGGAGCCCTGACGCCGATCTTCGTCACCGATGCGCACTCGTACCTGTGGGGCGAGTTCGAATGGTATATGCCAACCGTCATTGCGAAGTTCGACTCTCGAGCTGCAAAGTTCTTCGTATCCGCTAGCTTTCTCCTCGCAACGATCGGCAACCAGATCGCAGCGGATACCTACCCGTTCGCGAACGATGTAGCTGGCATGCTACCAAAGTACATCAACATCTTCCGAGCTACGATCATCATCTCCGTCTTTTGCATCGTATCCACGCCGTGGAACATCATCAAGAACGCATCGGGTCTGCTCTCGTTCTTGAGTGGCTACTCATGCCTCATGGGTCCTCTCGCAGGCACCATGGTCAGCGACTACTACCTCGTCAAGAAGTGCAAACTAGATGTGGATCAGCTCTACACGCATCGCGGCATCTACTGGTATGATGGAGGCTGGAACTGGAGGGCGTATGTGTCCTTCATTGTAGGGTTCGCTCCCCTCCTCCCAGGTTTTGCGAAGAGCATCGATAATGATCTGGACATCGGTGGCGCATGGAAAGTATACACGTTTGCGTGGATCTTTGGGTTCTTTCTTTCGCTGTCTACCCACTACATTGTATGTACATACATTTCGCCGGCGGCAGGATCGTTGGTAGAATGCGCGGTGTACCCGCCGCAAAAGGGTGAGGTGGTCGCGCCGGTTCTGGAGGGCGAGGAACTATCGAATAAGGAAACTCTTGTGGAGAAGGAGAAGGAGGTGGCTAATATGGCTTAACCAATATCGTACCAAGTACTCAGTCTTGACCAGTAATAATGGCTTCTGCCTTCT